CTCACTACTCATCTCCAACTCCTCAATGTACAAAACAACTCATCTTGGAGTACAGAACAACGAGCGGAACAAACATAACTGCAAAAGAATCCCACGGCGAGCAGTTCCCATACGCCGCATGTCGTCTGCTACCGGGAAGGAGAAAAAAGAAAAAAAACACACGGTCGGGTGCAGCCACGTGACTTCCGCCACACACTCTCTTCTCTCCACTTCTCCGACCTCCGTCGGGTTTCGGTTTCGGTTTCGAGCAGTTGCGTCTTTTGGCTTTATTAAAAAAATACGCTACTCTGTTGCAAAATATTAATTGGGTAGTCCTCTGACACCATAATAAAGCGCCTGGCAAAAAATTAAAAAAAAAAAATTTTGGGGGTGTCAGTGTCCCTCTAAGAAGTCTGTGTCGGGCGCTAAAGGCCCCAATCTCGAGGTCTTCTTCACAGTAAAGACCCACAAGGAGCTCAGTCCGTTCAGGGCGATTGTTACCCAGAAAGATTCTTGGCAGCTCCATGTATCGTCGTCTCTTCAGCGTCACCTGTCTCTGCTTAAGTTGGACGACCCTTTTCTCATTCGCAATTCTGATGCCCTTGTGGATTTCCTGAAAAAAGACAATCCGGAAGGCTGTGAGTTCGTGTCCTACGATGTTGAGGACATGTTTTATTCGATCCCTCATGATGAATTGATGCTAGCTGTGGGAGAATGCATAGAGGCAAGTGGTTCGGTTGCCTTCATGAACTCGACGGGTGTTGCGGTGGATTCCTTTTTGGAATTATTGAGTTTTTACTTGAGCTCCACATATGTCACATTTGAAAGTGGAATTTACTTGCAAAAGAGTGGGATCTGTATCGGATCGAGTTTGGCACCGGTCCTCAGTGATATATATCTGGCGAGGTGTGACAGGTCTATTGCAATGTCTTTGGGGTGTCGGGTTTTGAGAGTGTTTCGGTATGTGGACGACTACCTAGTGCTGTACAATGAAACCAGAGCCTGAGCCCTCAAGGCGCGTGTTTGGATTTCTCGGCCTGCTTTACGAAGTGCTCCCCCGGTTTATCCTTTAAGTTCGAGACACCATCAGCAGGAGCACTACAGTTTTTGGACCTGAGGCTAACTAAGCAGCCGTCGCATATATGTTGGTCCTATGAGCCACGTTCAAAGAAGGGTGTTCTTCCATTCGGTTCAGCGCACTCTAAGCTTGTGAAGAGGGCGGTTACTACGGGGTGTATGAGGGCTTCTCTGCTGAAGTCATGCCATCATAGGTGTGAGAACAGTCTTTTGTTTCAGGTATCTAGGCTTAGATCGGCGGGATACCCTCTTACGTTGATTGTGGGCGTGGCAGAGTCCCTCATAAAGGTGTTCAAGGGCCGACCCAGTCCTAAGATTAGACAAAAACCGACAACAAGACCGGTGGTGGTGCCTTATCTCCACGCCCTCTCTCATCAGGTCAAGCGAGTGGCGCATAAGTTTAACGTGCCAGTGGTGTTTTCAGCACCCCAGAAGCTGTCACGCCTGTGCACTGCTGTCAACCGAGGGAGGAACAGTGATTTGCAATGTGATGTAAACCACCGCACTCCTTTTGTACCATGCGCAGTGGGGGTTGTGTATCAGATCCCCTTCACATGTGGTAGGGTGTACATTGGACAAACGGGGAGGTGCGTGAACGAGAGGGCGAGGGAACATTCCCTTTCTCTCCGTTCCTCCCCCGCTGGCCACTTAGCGGTACATTGCAGTAGGTGCGGCTGCGTACCTGTTTTTCATGACTTGACGGTCTTGGCGCGCAATAAAAGTAAGACCGCCAGGGAGATTGACGAGGCTTTTTTTCATTTTATCTAAAGGGGAAGGGCAATGTGTGAGCGCACCGTCGGTGCACTTGGGGGATGATGGGGTCCTTTTTATCAGGGAGAAGGGCAGGCATGTGTGAGGGTGATGATGTGGTAGAAATCTTGTCGGTTGGGTTGTAAATTTTTTGTGTCTTTATTCGTTCTTTTCTATGCTCTGTGTTTATTTTTCTGGTTCGCCTGAAAATTAAACTTTAGTTGACAGTCAGCGCTTTGTCCGTGCACTTCTTTCACTTGTCCTTTGTTCAATTTTTGCGCTGTTTTCACGTTTGACGAGTCCCAGAGACTTGGACTCATACTTGCTCAACAGTGACGGCATCCTGCTGCGATACTTCCCCCAGGTGGACGATGGGTCCAGCGGCCCGCCATTCCGGACTGTAATACCACGTAAACTGCGTAAGTCATTTATAAGATATATGCACGATCCCGCCTTGGCAGGCCACAGCAGTGGGAGCAAAACTTACGAAAAGTTGTCCCAAATTGCAACGTGGCCAGGTATGGGGCAGAATGTGATGAAGTACAATCGGCACGGAATGAAACCCGAACGCCGGAACGCGTGGCCGTTGATACAGGCCGCTCCACCTAGAAGGCCCCTGAGAACTAATAAAAATGCACCGGGGTGCGAGGGTGCGGGTCCTACGAAGCTGAGCTCGACCCTCGCGCGGCGCGTCTGGGAGTTCCGCGTTTCGCCGGTGGCGCGCTGTAAGCGCCGTCACATCCGATACAAAAGGCACTGTCACTCGCTTTGTGTATTGAATTCCCAGCGATATCTCTTCAGAGCTGCCACTCATTATCGCTTTGTGTATCGCAAGGGCGAAATGAAAGGTGAAACATTTCGTGCACGGAAGACCCGTAGTGCTTGATGACGTGTCACCGGAACATCGTGGCACGCGCGGTTTCTGAGAAATAGTGAAACGTTATAAACGCGAAATAAAATTCGTTTGTTCGCATGACCATACTCTTTATGAAAAAAAAAATACTACAACAGACTGACGCGGATGCCTCGGTTTTTATGAGCAATGCGCATGTTTTCGTGCGAGGTTATCAGTCGATTCTTAAAAAGCGAGGAATTGCTTGTTGCGCTCTATTCGGTAACCACCGATATGCCAGGCGTATCCATTCCGGAGCGGAATAAATTCACCACCCTGTCTGGGCAGGACCTATCGCAAAGAGCTGTAGCCAGGTTAAGGGGCCGCCCAGTGTCGAACGGGCGACATGGGGAGACAGTGCGGCGACACAAAAACACCCTGAGTGACGGCGCTCACAGCGCGCCTCCGGCGAAACGCGGAAGTCCCAGACAAGCCGCGCGAAGGTCGAGCACATTTTAGCAGGACCCGCACCCTCGAACCCCGGGCGCATTTTCATTAGTTCTCAGGCGCCCACCAGGTGGAGCAGCCTGTCTCGATGGCCACGCGTTCCGGCGTTCGGGTTTCATTCCGTGCCGATTGTACACACGTAGCTGCCTGGTTTGTCAGAAGGCGAAACCCCGAGGTGGCCAACCACCAGGTTTAATGCAGTCGGTCGAAAGCAAGTACCCTGGGAGTGTGTTGCCTGCGACGTTGTCGGTCCCCGTCACCGTAGTCCACGCGGCAATCAGTATTTGCTAGTCGTGACCGACCATTTCAGGAAGTGGGTCGGAATGTTTCCTTTACGCAAACGGGACTCTAGGATGATCTGGGACTGTCTTCTCGAGGCGTTCGCGCGTGCTTTAGCTTTGCCGTAACGCTTATTACAGGCAACGCTTCTTATTTTGTTAGCAAGGTGTTCGTGGATGCGTGTAAGGCGCTAGGCATACGGCACAAGCGGACTTCGCCGTACCATCCACAGGCAAATATCACCAAAAGAGTGAACCGTAACATGAAGCAGATGCTTGCTGCGCATACAGAGCGACACAAAGACTGGGGCGGAAAATTGGCAGAAATGGCACTCGCTGCCCGCACAACAATCAGCCGATCCACAAGTTTTACTCCGGCTCAACTTAACGTTGGGAAAGAGCTCGTGTTTCCCCTGGGAAACGGCCTTCTTTGCACAGATCCGGCAAGCATGCAGCGCATTACCACGCATTTCGCAGAAGATCTCCGGAAGCGTTTCACGGAGAACCAGCGTGAAGCTCGAGAGAGCCTCTACGTCTTGAAACTGCAGTAGGCAAACCAGTAAAACAAGGGGAGGCGAAATCTGCAGTTCAAGGTAGGAGATCTGGTACCGAGGCGAACTCATTCGCTGAGTGATGCTGCTAGAGGCTTCACGGCCTCTTTAGCAAAGAGGTGGGATGGCCCCTACCGCGTTAGTATGAAGCTCTCCAACCTGTCTTATGAGCTGGTGCATTGCGAATCTGGTGAAGTGTGCGGAAGAGATGGATAACCCGGTGGGAACGTTACCGCATAATCTCAGGACTCCATCTCCGGGACGCATCGACTCAGGTCAACACTTTCCTTTATGCGATGGGCAGAGAGGCAGAGGATGTTCTCTGCTCGCTCAACTTAACCGAAGATCAGCTTATCGACTACGATGTAGTCAAGGCCAAATTCGACACCCACTTCATTCCTCGGGTGAACATCATCTTCGACCGAGCCGAATTCAACTCGAGAAAGCAAGAACCGGACGAGCCAGTGGAGGTCTTCATCACGGCCCTACATAAACTGGTGAATACTTGCGAGTATGGCTCTCTGCGGGACGAGCTCATCCGAGATCGCATCGTGATAGGACTGCTCGACACAAAACTCAGTGAGAAACTCCAGCTGGACGCTCAACTTACATTGGAAAAAGCGACCACGACAGCACGATCGTCGGAGACAGTTAAGCGGCTACAGTCAGAGCTGCGCAGCGCAAAGACTGGAAGCGACGTCCTCAAAGAACTTAAAAGACATCCGCGAGGAATAAGCGTAAACATAGATACCAAACGTCAGAGCACGTCGCAAGACCAAGGACGTCCTAACAGTTTAACGTGGACATGCCGATGGTGTGGCAGTTCGCAAAAGCACGCCCAGCTTCAATGCGCTGCGAGAGGCAAGAAGTGTAACGCCTGCAAAAAGCTAGGCCACTTGGAAAGCGTCTGTTTTTCGAAGCATGCGATAGAAAATCGAAAATCACGAGCACATGGGCAGAGACTAAACGAAGTCTTCCTTGGCGAGCTGGTACAGTCAAGAAACGGGAGCCCCTGGTTCATCACAGCTAAGCTGAACGACCGGGAAGTAACGTTCAAGGAGGATACGGGAGCGGACGTCACGGCTGTACCTCCTTGCGCGTGCGACGCGACAACCTTGGCAGCGCTGGAGCCAACAGAGACGCATCTCTTTGGAGCCGGACACTCTCCACTCAGCACACTCGGCAAGTTCAAGGCAACTATAACCTGGAGTGGGCGAACAACCAGAGAGACGATCTACGTAACCGACCGGCTGAGATACCCTCTGCTTGGACGAGCGGCTATTCAAGCCCTTGAGGTGCTGCCAAGCTTACAGGAGGTCAACGTTTACAGCAACATAGAGTACGATCAACAACTGCACGCTAAGTACCCATCGCTTTTCCAAGGACTGGGGGAAATGAACGTCCAGTACAAGATCACCCTCCACCCGGACGCTAAGCCGTTTGCCATCACCTACCCGAGACGGGTACCCTTTCCGCTGGTACCCAGCGTAGAAAAGGAACTACAACGCATGCAAGACATGGACGTGATCGAACCAGTCGACCACGCCACAGCCTGGTGCGCACCCATGGTGGTTGCCAAAAAGCAAGATAACTCTATTCGGATCTGCGTGGACTACACTCAGCTCAATCCGCAGCTGGTGCGGGAGCGCATCATCATGCCCACGGTAGAAGAGACCCTTGCAAGGCTGGCAGGAGCTACGGCGCCAGAATTCTTCCAGCGGGAGATGCTGAGGAATCCCGGGGCATGTTTGTCACATGGATGACATTCTAGTTTTCGGCCGCGACAAAACAGAGCACGACAGAAATCTCGAGGTGGTGCTCCGCCGCCTCCGTGACACCGGAGTGACCTTGAACTCCGCAAAGTGCGAGTTCGCCAAGAGTCGCGTCAGGTTTCTGGGCCAAATCCTGGATGGCAGAGGCATCGCGGCAGACCCTAAGAAGACGGAAGCGATTGTCAAGATGCCAGCACCGGAAAGCATGGCAGAGCTACGATCGTTTTTAGGCATGGTAAACCACCTCGGCAAGTTTCTACCTGACATCGCGGACAAGACTAAGCCACTTAGAGATCTACTACATCAGGATGCAAGCTGGCTCTGGAGTGAGCCTCAAGAAAAAGCATTCTGCGAGGTCAAAGATCTCCTGTGCAAGGTTCCTGTCCTAACCTTCTATAAACCAGGAGCGCACCTGACGTTATCGGCAGACGCTTCTTCGTATGGACTGGGGGCGGTCCTACTCCAAGAGGAGGAGAACGGCAGCAGACGCCACATGGCGTACGCGTCGAGAGCCATGACGCCGACAGAACAAAGGTACGCCCAAGTCGAAAAGGAGGCTTTGGCCATCGTCTGGGCGTGTGATCATTTTAGAACCTACTTGGTAGGACAAGTATTTCACGTCGAGACAGACCATAAGCCCCTTGTACCGTTGTTATCGACAAAACGTCTCGACGAAATGACACCGAGGCTACAGCGGCTAAGAATGCGCATCTTCGAGTTCGACTTCACTACCTCTCACGTACCAGGCAAGAAGATGTACACCGCGGACGTCTTGTCCAGGAAGCCGCTAACAACGACAGACAACTCTACAGTCACACCGAGAGATGCTGACAAGAGTGAAACATTGGTTCAAGAGTACGAGATGCTGACAGTGGAGCTTCTTCCAGCATCTTCTTCCTTTTTGGAGAGGCTGAGGACTGAACTGTCCAGAGACCCTAGTACAGCTAAAGTTATGGAATACTGCCAAAAACAGTGGCCCGAGACGGACATGCTACCTCCAAACCTAAAGAAGTTCGCCAGTCTCGCAACAGACCTTTCGGTTGTGCAAGGTCTACTCACGCGGAACGACATGCTGGTTATTCCCCCCCCGTCTGCAAGGAGAGGACCTAGAAAGAATACATTGTGGACATCAAGGTGTCGTCCGATGCCGTGCAAGAGCGAGGGATTCTGTCTGGTGGCCCGGGGTCAGCACAAAAATACAAGAATACGTAAGTCGCTACCCTACATGCCAGCAATATCGACGAGCTCGTACGGACCACCTACTTCAAACTCCACTACCCGATCGTCCGTGGCAAGAGATCGGAACGGACCTTTTCCAGCCGGGAGGGAAGAAGTATGTAGTCATCGTCGACTACTACTCGAAGTTCTTCGAGCTTGAGGAACTTCCACGAATGACAACGGAAGACTTGACTAAAGTCTTCAGTCAAGTTTTCGCAAGACATGGATGTCCGGAAGTTATACGCTCAGACAACGGTCCCCAGTTTGGATCGAGCGAGTTCCGGCGATTCGTGAACCATTGGGGAGCCCAACTGGTGACTTCTAGTCCATATTACCCCCAGAGCAACGGGGAGGCCGAAAGAGCGGTACAAACTGCAAAGAACCTGGTGACGAAATCATCGGATGCGGCGCAAGCTCTTCTGGCACACCGGACTACCCCAGGGCCTGAAGGTTTCTCCCCTGCAGAGCTTCTGATGGGACGGAAGCTCCGTTCAACGCTTCCGAGTGCGCCAACTACGCTGAGACCTCACTGGCGCCACTCGAAGAGGTATCGACAACGGTACCAGTTTCGTAAGACGAGAGAGGCGTCTGGCTATAACAGACGCCATAGGACGAGAGACTGCCAGGTGCTACCCCCGCACTCAGCGGTCTGGATCCACGCGGGTGCGGCTTCGCAGGGAATGATACAAGGCCAATCAGGACAGCCTAGGTCTTACCTCGTGGAAACGGACAAGGGACAGTACGACGCACCCGGCACCATCTTCAGACCGCGAGCTCCGAGATGGAAGCAGCCGGTCAACAGGACAACGACCTTTCAGCAACCGTAACCCGGAGTGGCCGAATTTCGCGTCCTCCAACTCGTTATGGACATTATTGCTTAAAAGGGGGAGCTGTCATAAAAGTGGGAACGCATCTTGCGTTATATGGCACAAGTGCTGGCTGGCTATGCTGACTGACAGATGAGCGTGACTCGGGTAGCGCGGGACGGAGTCACGTGGAAGGCTGCGATGCGCGCGTGTGGGCTCGAGGTTTTGGGTGGTTCGATAAAAGCTACCGACGTAGCTGGTGTTCTCTTGCGGCTCCTGTCTTTGGTCCTCTTGACTCGACCCGACTCGGTACACGATAGCCTCATGTTGTTTTTAATTTCTAGTTCCTCGTGCCAGGCAACGGCGACGCAGCTCCTATCATCAGACACCCCCCCCCCCCCCCCCCCCCCGAGCCGCATCGGTACTGCCCGGAAGTACCGACGTCGGACCCGTGTTCCCCCATCTGCGAAGACCCTGTGACCCAAAAGACCCCCCCAAAACCTTCTAAGACGTTTTGTTTTCGGAAGAGGGGAGATGTGTCGGCAACCTGGGGATTCCAAGCGTTTGGCCCAGGTTGCCCCTCCGACAATCATGAATGGTCATCTTCACCACGAGGGGGCCAAGGGCAACTGGCCACGCGAGTGGCGCTCCGCCGCTATAAAGGGCCGTCGCTGCGTATGCGCGGGGGCTGTTGGGATCGCGGCGCAGGCGATAGCGGTTATTAAATGTTTACGTGTTGTTGAACCGGTGTGCTGTGTCATTCCCCGAGACGAGTAGCAGCAAGGGGACTCCCACAAGGTTCATGTTTGATTTGGTTGACCTCGCAATTGTAAACACGTGGTTTCAGTATTGTGAAGAGCGTACTCAAACTGAGACACCCAAGAAAGACATCCGTCAGTCTTTCGATTTCAAACTCCAAATCTGGAAAAAGAGAGCTGGAAGGGACTTGCAACACCAGAAATAATTTTAACGTGTGAAGCACTCATTAAAAGTCACCAGTAGTATCAACAAAACAAAAGGCACTTTCACTTTCTCGAACCGACCTTCACGTAAGAAATGCAGACAATATACCCGAAGTCGCGGATGTTTATCCTAAGCAGTATACCCACGTTGCGGGAACCCCGGCTGCAATGCAATTTGCAGAATTCGCTGCGCCACATACATTTATGTGTGTGTGTATGTGTGTTTTTTCTCTAAAAAATTCTATATTTCAGATTTCATTAGCGGTAAAAAGTCCTTTCCGAAGTTCAACGTGGCCCCAATGTAGTTCGGAAAAAGTAGTTTTCATAGCATTGCAGGTTTGTGCGGAAATTTTATTTCTTTCTGATGAATAAAGTTGTGTTGTTGTCTGTTGAATAAAACGTCTCCACTCAACTACAGACCAATCTCCCTTACCTGCATTTCCTGCAAAATTCTCGAGCACATCACCTACAAGCATCTTATCAGTTTCCTGAATTCCTGCAATTACTTCACCCACGCACAGCACGGCTTCCGCAAGAAACTTTCATGTGAGACCCAGCTGCTGTTTCTTACTAACGACCTTTTTCAAAATCTCGACTCCGGCTTTCCTACTAATGCTGTCTTCCTTGATTTCGCCAAGGCTGTTGACAAGGTCCCTCACAATCGCCTTCTGTTCAAACTCACATCCTTAAAATTAGATCCTCTCGTTCTAAAATGAATCCAATCTTTTCTTAGCTACCGTTCTCAATTTGTTTTCGCTAACGACTCGCCTTCCTCCTTAGCTCCAGTCTCCTCCGGCGTGCCGCAAGGCTCTGGTACTTGGCCCTTTACTCTTTCTAATCTCTATTAATGACCTCCCGCTTCAACTTTCTTCAATTCGCCTTTTCGCAGATGATTGCGTTATCTATAGACTAATAAAATCTCCCGACGACCACCTCCTCCTCCAAAACGACATTAACAAAATTGCCGACTGGTGCCGTACTTGGCAAATGTCCCTAAATATTAATAAATGCATGCATGTATGTTTCACGCGCTTGTCCTCCCTCCACGTAACAACATTAACACTAAATGACACCGTCCTCCAGGCCACTACCGAGTATAAATATCTTGGTGTTTATTTAACTAATAATTTATCCTGGAATAATCATGTTAATAAGATAATATCCTGAGCTAATCGCTGTCTTGGTTATATTCGGCATAATTTCAAGACGGCTCCTTCTAACCTCAAAAGACTTCTCTATATTATTCTTGTACGCCCTAAACTAGAATACGCCTCATCTATCTGGCATCCCCACCTTTCATTCGTCACCAAAGCAATAGAAGCAGTCCAAAACCGCGCAGCTCGTTTCATTCTTTCAGATTACTCCCGTTTTTCCAGTGTCACTGAAATGAAATCTCAATTAACCCTCCCTGACCTTTCTCTTCGCCACAAAATTTCCAGGTTTTCCGTCCTGCATAAAGTGTATTACTCTCCCTCCTTAAATCAGTCTCTCCTTAGCCCACCCAACTATGTTTCTTCAAGACTGGACCACACAGGCAAGATTGCCCGACCCAAGACCAAATCTACAGCCCACCAGCATTCATTTCTACCCGAAACTGTTGTGGACTGCAATGGCCTTCCCGATAACATCGTCACCATTGCAGATAACACCAGGTTTCGCCTCGCACTTAACTACCACTCCCCTCTGTAATGCCCCTCGGGGCCCTGAGGATATTTGTAAGTAAATAAATAAATATATAAACACAGAAAGGCTGCCTTCAGTTACGTTTTCTTCGGACCCAATGTACCGTATACTGTACGTGTCATAAAAACCATCTAATAAATTTATCGAGCCAAATAAGTGTTTTTTTTTTCTCTCTCCGGACCTTAGAAACACGAAATTGCATCCCAGAATGGATAATCTTTTGTCCAACATTTTTCGGGTCTCAAAAGGTTAAGGCGGTTTTGATGACGATTAGCAAGTTTTTACTTGGAACCATATGTTTTGTTTTACTAATTAAAAAGTT